GATCTTTTTTTTTTTTTTTTTTTTTTTTTTGTTTTTTTTTTTTTTCCGTGTCCAGCAACGGGATCGCAACCCTCGCTGTTGCCCCCGCGCCTCGCTCAGCCAGTGAGCGGGAACCGGTCTGTATGTGGGATCCGAACCCTCGGGCGGGAGCACCGCCGTGCTTCCCAAGCGGCGCACTTATCCAGTGCGCCACCGGGCCGGCCCAGGAAAGAGGATCTTGAATGTTACAACCACAAAGAAATGAAAAATGTTTAGGTGATAGATAGGCTAACTATTCTGGTTGGATCATTATTCAACATATGCATGCACTGAAACAACAAGCTGTACCCCACAAGCATGTACAATGAAAAAAATAAATGTCAACACATAAATAAAATTGGAAAAGGCTAAAAAAAATTTTTTTTTCTAAAAATTTCATGTTCTCATTTCATCAGGACCCCAGGGACTGCCTGGTTTCACAGGTTTTCCGGGAGAGAGAGGAAAGACTGGCCCAGAGGGACGACCTGGCAGAAAAGGGGAACTCGGGGACAAGGGTCAGCCTGGCTTTCTGGGAGACCAGGGAGTAAAAGGTACCACAGGTAAATGCGCTTAACAACACAGTGATGCAGCTGACGTTTGCTTATGGTATTTGATCAGAACCTATAAAAAATGATCTCTCAAAAGTAAAGTGGAACTATTTTACAGCTTGGATTCCTCTGCCTTCTGGTTCTATGATGTTTGTTTTAGAATTTTCAACAAAACTCATTTTCTTTACCTCTCAATCTGATTACATATAATCTTATATGTAGAAAAAACTTACATATAGAAAAAACTTAAGCGATTTTTAATGCATTGATTTATAGCTATTGGGATCCAGAGAACTTTCTCACCTGTTGGGAAGGGGCTACAGGTAGGGCTCCTGCCCCCAATCTCTGTTTCAATTAGAACAGGGGTGGATAAACTTTCTGTAAAGAGCCTGATAATAAATATTTCAGGCATTGCAGGCCATATGGTTTCTGTCACAACTACTCGACTCAGCTTCTGCGGTGTGAAAGCAGCCATGTATACAACATGTAAACAAATGAACATAAAGTTTTCCAACAAAATTTTATTTATGGACACTGAAATTTGCATTTCATATTATTTTCACACATCACAAAATATTATCCTTCTTTTGAGTTTTTCTCCCAACCATTTAAAAGTGTAAAAAACATTCATTTCTCATGGGTTACACAAACATTGGGTGCAAAAGAGATTTGGCCCTTGGGCTGCAGACCTTTGAGCTAGACTGAGTCCATTTTCATCTGGCCATGAGCTGAGTTTCCCTCAAGCTTTATTTAAAGAGTTTTCATTAGTATAAAACATAGAAGTTTCAAGACCACTAGTTTAAATGGTCTGTGCTCATTTCTGCTAAATGTTTACTTTTACCTCTTAGCCCTGAGGCTGCAGAGAGTAGGTAACTTTTTATTTCTACTGTTGGGAAAGAATACTTGACAATTTCTGGAAATAAGTATTTTGCCCTTAAAGCTCTTTGGGCAAATAGCCTCATATTTAATTCAAATTACTTTTTCTTCTTAGTTGATTCTCATATTAGTTTTTGTTTTCCTAACTTGTAGATTATTTATGTAGAATTCAGGAATCAAAGTCACTCTTTGCTAGCTTAGGTGAGTGATGCTTGCTGTGCTATTAAGCTACTATGCAATTATCCCACTAAAAATTAAAAACTGGATTTATGCCAGTAATAGCAAATTAGCTCTCCAAAATTAAAAAAACAAAACAAAACAAAAGCCCCGATCGGTGTTTGCTGATTGCTGTGGTGTAGAAACTCCCACCATGGCTGATTTCTGATTTAAAGCTACCGATGGCTTACTACTGGCTTACAAAATTCTTGAATTGTTAATAATCACCTCTTGCCAAACTGGTATGAGTCCACTCCAGCACACTGCTACAACTGCATGGTCTTTACAGGATCAGGTATAAATACGGTATGCCCTTCCTATGTCTTGGAAGTCTCTATGCGGAGAACCACATTGGGATAAGTGTCTGTTCTTTAATAAAGGAAAAATAGAGCGTGGCTAGGAAGGAAAGGTACAGAAATGGAAATACAAGATGGGCAATCCAGATTCCACAGGATGAAAGAACATTTTTGGAGACCAGAACTTTTCAAACCTGTCTTAACTCACTGAAGACTCTGAGATCAGTTTGGCTGAATTTAGCAAATTCACTCACGGTTCTCCAGACCCAGTGGCCGGGCAAGTGAGGACACGCTCACTTGGGAATATAAAAGTTGCAGCCCTTCCTGTATGAAATCAATATTGTGCGATCGATAAATATAAACACAGGTTGGGAGGTTAAATGGGGATTTGTAGACGGAAGTGAAGTGCGGTAATGGATGAATCACATGTGTGGTGCTCCTGCTTATATGTTGCTCTTGCCTAATCAATATCCGAAGGAGCGAGAGGACCTCCCGGAGATGAAGGAGAAATGGCTATCATTTCCAAAAAAGGGAAAACTGGGGAACCTGGACCTCCTGGAGATAATGGATTCCCAGGAGAAAGAGGTAAACACTTATGGTTTCTAACCATATCAAATAAGTTGACATCTTTACGGATCATTGAAGCAAGCCTGTGTATTAAACAACTTTCCCACTAACACTGAGGTTAGGAAAGGTCATCATTTTGATATAAATATATAGTCATGGTCCTTGCAGTACATTTTTGTTTGTTTTTCCATGCTGAAGCTTAGCTGAAGTTCATATGTATTTATAGATTTGAATATTCCAAACTAGGGTCAATCTAACAATACATAAATTACTGGTTCCAGGTTTAAAGTGCCTCTGTTTTTGGCAGTTGGTTTTAAGGTGAATGGTACAATGACTGTTGAAGGTATTTTGAGCAGTGCCTCTCAAACTTCATGTGCATATGAATCACCTGGGGATCGGGGTAAAAAGCAGATTCTGAATCAGCGGGTCTGGGGCAGCCAGGGATCCTGTCTTGCTAATAAGCCCCCCTATGCCCACACTGCTGGTCCTCAGAACATCGTATAGCAAGGATTTTGACAACCACATTGTGTTCTCTCCCAGGTTCAGACTTAATCTGCAGGAAGCCTGGGTTCTTGTCTTAACTCTCTCCTTAACTAGTTGTTAGGGCAAATGCTTTCTCTTCTCTGGGTATTTCTTTCTCTTTGTAAACGGCGTGTACTGAAGTGAATGATCCTGCTTGCCCCCTCCTACCTCTGCTAGTCCAGCGTCTGTTCACGGGCAGCTTCTTTTACAGTGAGGTCACTGAAGCCAGAGCCATTGTGATGCAGCTTAGGGCAGGAATCAGGATTCCTGATCCCTTTGGCTTCATCTTCTAAAGCAGGACTAAGTACTGCGTCACCTGAGACTTCAGCAGAGAGGCTTTAACACTTCCAACCTCACCAGGGGACAAAGGACGTCCTGGGACACCAGGGAAAAGAGGAGAGCCAGGAGCACACGGGCCACCTGGACTTCACAGAGGGGAACCTGGCAGAAACGGGCAGCCAGGGCTTCCTGGACCCCCAGGCCCTCCAGGCTCACCTGGGCAAAGAGGGATCATTGGTTTTCCGGGATTTCCAGGTGACCAGGTAAGGGGCTACTGCTTCGTGAGGGAAGAAATAATAAAGCCTTTCTGCTTTTAGGATGCCCATAAGGAGCTATAATTTGCCAGTTTACGTCACTGCCCATTCAGTGGCTTTTAGAGTGTAAGGGGAGCAGAAGGGAAGCGTGAAGCCCTCCAGAAGGCCACGATATAAACGAGATTTGTAACCAGTGCTCACGCCTGCTTCCCCTAACACAGTGACCAAGTCATGCAATCCACATACTCCAGCCTCATTTAACTCCACAGAGACTGGCCTTGCCACTGCTGCTTTACCAGAATGAAAACCAGTGCTCACGCCTGCTTCCCCTAACACAGCGACCAAGTCATGCAATCCACGTACTCCAGCCTCATTTAACTCCACAGAGACTGGCCTTGCCACTGCTGCTTTACCAGAATGAAAAGTCGTCCTGAAAAATCGCCCAAATTCTGTTTTCTAAGCCTTCCTGTCCAATTTCTGATACCACAGATTTTGCTTTAAATATATTTGGTCTTCACAATGATGAGTACAATACCCCTTGAGAAGCCAGGAAGTACAATAGATGTAGTTGCCTACATTGCACTTTAGGAAAATGTTTAATATAATTTGCTATCTTTTGGAATAAAATGAATTGTTAAAGATTTTGATGTGATAGGACTTATAATATTTTATTTAGTATCAACTTGTTTTCAAAACTTAACATTCAAGTTATGTAATGCAATTACTGTTTTGCAAGCAGGTGTAGAGAACGGGATGCTCACCCTGTTAGTACTGATAGATCTAATTCTGGAGTTTTGTCTGATTTTGAAAACTAGATTCATGTGGCAGGATGCTTGCAATGCATTTCCACTTTTCTTTGCCACTGCAGATTACAAAACCAAATTGGTTACAGAAAATTATAACTGGATCATGTCACTTATATGCCATTTGTATTTGAAATCTCATTAATGTCTTTCTTCTGTTTCCTTAAACTGTCAGGGTGAGCCAGGTTTTCCAGGCCCCCCTGGATTTTCAGGAATTGATGGAGCAAGAGGACCTAAAGGTATGGTTTGGAAATACAGCAGCCGTCTGTCAGACTCACAGTCCTGGGTGTCTGTCACATTGTGAGTGCTTTTTGCTTGATAAGCAAAGTGTGTCAACCAAACTGCTGCACGCAAGGGGCTCTTCTTAGACTCTACTAGGTAGCCAAACACTCAAGACACAAATGGCCCCATTTGTCACTCAGATCCAAGGGTACCAGATAAGAAACAGCACGCCTGCAGGCTCATCATATCTTCCTCCTCAGTGGGAGCCCTAGCAGCCATTCATGTAGTGACTGCAGGCCCTCAAGTCATAGCTCGGGTATAAGCAGACCAGATCCACATTGGTCGGCAGTGTCCACCTTGGCTTAGAAGAATCATGTCCTGGGCCGGCCCGGTGGCGCACTGCGCTAGTGTGCTGCGGCGCTCCCGCCGAGGGTTCGGATCCCACATACAGACCGGTTCCTGCTCACTGGCTGAGCA